AGGGGATTTTGAGATACACTCTTTTCAGACAAGCCCACTATTTATATTGGATAAATCCGTCACATCAATCCTGTTGCGACTTTTCCTGGTTGAACCAAGCATGTGTCCAGCGAAAATGAGGATTCAGCGACAAAAAATCATGGACATTTGGGTATATGACTGGTGAATTGTAGGTTGAGTTATAAATTATATACCATTCATATACCCAAAAATACTGATTTATGGTATAATATCATTTAGGTTGATCGTTTCAGTTACAGCCATAAATTATATTGCTGAGTGGCTGCGATCATGGCAGGATTGTCCAGGTTTATGATGATAAGACCGAGGACAAAGCACAGAAAACTCTCCAGAGTCAGATGAGAAAAGACTTATGCTGGTTGGTGGTTTGGAACATTTTTTATTTTCCACAATATATGGGATAATCCTTCCCATTGACTAATATTTTTCAGAGGGGTTGAAACCACCAACCAGTATGAGTTTCCAGCTGACAGTTTCATTTGGAAGATCAACTTGGTGTGTCTTCGCAACATCAACGTCTGAGCCAGGCCACTGGACTGAAATTCGCAGCAGAGAATCTGAAAGCTCCTCCAGAAGGATTATGGTTGGGTGGCCAGAAACTTGTCAGACTTGGTCCGTGGATTGGCCGAGCCCCATATAAACTGAGGGGTCCCTTCATGGCAATGGGTCAAAAGCTTTCTTGGAATTATTTGGGTATGATCTCCAACTGTGTTTTCACAGGAGGCAAAAAACCTTGGGGGAAAACTCAGCAGTTGAACTGGATCTCTCATTCTGGGCATGGGATGCCCATGTTGCAACATTCTGGGCATCGCTGTCCAGTTGGATCCGTCATCTCCGGGCTGAGGAAATACAAGATTACTCGTACAGACAAGGAGTACCAAGTTGGTGATCAAACGTGCCTCGGGCGCAGAGTCGAGTTGCTTCAATTTCATCCATTCTCAACTGGCCTCATGAAAACCTCCAAGTAAAGGGTGGTTATATCCCAAAATTGTTTCTGTTTTTTCCCCGATATTCTAGGGGTCGCAATATTCATGTTTTAGGTTTTAATCTCTTGCCTTTGTTGTTTTTGCTTGAAGTGAGATATGCAGTGGAAACCATCTCTTCGAGCGCTCGAGCGTTGTGTCCAGGTTCATCTACATCTTTGCTGCAGCGCCAAAAAAGGCCAACTGTTCTGATGTTTACCCCAGATGGCTGGGTCCTGGTCATGAGACCTTTCTGGATCAAGGAATATCAAATCAAACAGTGTTCAAACCCCCCTGTTGGTTGATGATTATGGGGTGGGTATACTACCCAGATCTACCCAGTATATATATTGGGGATTGTCAAATTCCTTTTGGGAAATCCGATTCACCAACCAGTATAGTCAGTGTAATAGTGAAATGACAGAGGGTCTTGAAAACAGCTTAAATACATTCTTGCCTTCAAGCATTGATCTTTAATCAGCGTCAGTCCCCATGATCTTGATCTTGACTTCCCCCCAAATTTTGATTCAAACTCACTGGTAGAAGCTTTTGATTTCTTTGATGTGTCAATAGTTTATCACAGTTTGCAGATGTTTGCAGGATTTTCCTGTTCGATCTTTTTGTTGCTGTAAAGCTTCTTCGGTTGGCTGATTCTCGGCACGAGGATATCGAGGTGCTGAGAACCGTTGTCACCTGCGCCGCCAGGGTGTAAGCATTGCAGTGACAAAGACCCAGATCATCTGCGCCTTTTTTGATGTCCTTGCCTCAGGGCTGGTCGTGACCACTGGAATTGGGGTTTTGAAACAAAAAAAGCACAAACACATGTTGAGCACTGGTGCTTGGCAATGGCTTGTGAATTTAAAATTATTTTAAGTTGAAATTGAAGTGGTTTCTTCAAGTTTCTTGACTGAAATGATGATGTATATTGTGAATCCAATTTCTGATGGACAAACGCGCGCAAATCGTGACGAAGCTACACATTTTGCAGGCTAAAAGTTGTCGAATCTCTGAATTTGTCTACCTCAGGGTCCTCAAGTTTCAAGCGCTCCGACAGCCCGTCTTGTGATCATATTTGCCATGGTCAGAACTTGGTCAACTTCCCGAAAAAATGAGGTCATCAATCCATTTCCATAGCGATTGATGTCCCTATTTTGTTTCAGGATTCCCAGGATAGGATGAATGACCGGGGGCCCCTTAATGCAACTTGCCCGTGGCCGTGGCACGGTCAAGTTGCACTAAGGAAGAGAAGGGCCAAACAGCTGGAAACTGCACCAAGGCAGAAGCGCAGCCACTGAAATTCTATGAGTCAAGGCGTCAAGGTTTGAAAAGTGCACAACTTATGATACTTATGGCATCAAGGTGTTTAAACAAACGGTATGCTTGTGAGATTGGGTACCCAACGTGGGGTGTGATATTTGGTTTGCCACGAATCAGGATCAAATTGCGTGAGGTGCGATGTCTGAAAATATGCGAACCACGTCCGTATGGTTTGTATTCAATCGATCTGTACTTGGGACATCTTGGGATGTTGAATTGCATTGGAGTGATACTTTTTCGCGGGGTTGAAACATACTTAAAGAATCCAACTTACACATTTTGCCCCGCAATGCGCAGAAACAAATTGGGTTTGGTCAGCTGCACGTGACCTCCAAAACGAATTGGATAGGCAATTTCTACACAAGAAACATCATAAAACTGGTATGGAAAGGTTTTGTGATGGTTAAATTAAATGATAAAGTTTAAAAACCATGATAAACTTATATAAATTTAAACTTGTATCATAAATGATAAACCACGTGGTTAAAAAAAATAAAAAAAACTGCTGACAGGCGCTGGCTGCCTACGCTGAATGGATGGTGAGTGAAGGCTATTGAGCAGCCGCATGAAGTGCGGCTGCTGGAGATTTCGCCTCTTTCACGACTGACATGGAAATCAGCATAGCTTGTCCAATCTAGGACCCACGAAACATAGAAACAGATAGAAACAGTACCCTCTGGCAAAGTAACATAACTATGGAAAATCACCATGTTTAATAGGAAAATCCACTATAAATGGCCATTTTCAATAGCTATGTTAAATTACCAGAGGGTAGAAACAGTATGTCACGTTGCTTTGTTCTGATCTTCTGAGAAATTTCACTCTCTGAGAAAATCATGGAATGTGTGTGTGTGATTTCAGTTCCAGATGTGTTGATATGTCGTGATGTCCAAACTCGACAGTTTGCAGGTGGTTTACCACCATACGCTTGTTCACTTGAGCTTTCGAACTATCCCAACATGTCTTGCGCATGTCGGCATGGTGAGTGGTTGATCACAGCTGCTATCGAAGCCTTGGTCGGGCTGCCAAAAACCATGTGATTTGCATTGTTTTATCATGTTTTATCTGCATAATAGATTAGACTCATACACTTTAATATTCTTATCGTCAGATGTCATCCAATTTCTTTATAGAACAGGTATTCCAATCAATACATTTTAACTACACATAATCAAATGCTGTTGTGTTTCCCAGGTCAGGTTTGCTTTTCTGCTTGGTGCCATGGTAGCAATATCCCAAATCTGCAGCACATCAGGAAAACCTCTATATATTTTTGGGTAAAACACAATGATTTCCTGTAACTCTCCCATAAACTAGTTCATTGCTGCTACCATAAATCACAGTAAATCAGTGTCCCCAGCGTTTTTGATATCAAATGGTATCACTATACCAGTGACTATACCAGCACTGCATGGTAGAGGCACTGGGTGGCACCCAAACTATACAATGATATTCCAACATGCTGTTTTTATTTTGGATGGATGTTGTTTTCACCAATCGATCTTGATGAACATTTACCCAACCTTTAGAAGGGGTACAGTAACTGGTAATAATCACACATGTCGGTTCCATTCCCATGGTCATCATTATATAAATCCAATTATTCAAAATGTGTGACAAGATTGTGTGTTCTCGATTTTTTGTTAGACATATGTGACATACCCATTTCTATTAATTGTATCCTCATGTTTTCATGATTCGAGCGCAACGAATCTCAGCATTGCAGATCATCCAGCGAACTCCGCCTATCATGAAGCAGCTGAGAAACCCCGCGTTGATTCGTTTGGGCTTCTGCACCTCTCTCGAAGTCGAATGCACCGAAAAAGATTCAGATGAGGTTTTCTGGATGATTTTATCTAGTGGCTCCATTGTCAGCCTTAAAGAAATTGTGGTATATATCGGGTGCTATATAGTATGGCCACATGGCCCATGGCTTTAAATCAGATTTTGTATTTGGTATAGTGGTATATGTATATAGTCGCTATCAAGGACGACAACAGTAATCTTCCACCCATAGTGCTGCCTTTTAAGATTCCAACAAGGATCAGCTTTCTCGGTCTACCAGGCGAAGACCGCAACGCTCATGATGCAACAACTGCGAAACCCACTAACCAGCATTGCCAACGGTTATTAAGGATCCTGGTTTGCAGTATGTATGTAAATAGGCTTTCTTAAGTAAAACAACCATGAAACACTCTACAATCAGTATATCATGGTTACGCTGGAACCATCGATCACACATCATGGCAATTCAACAACAATCTATCATGTGTGGCTGAAAATGGTGCATTCCGCCAAACCGGCCATTCTCAATGTGCAAATGAGAAATCGGTTCCCGGTAGATGTCAATTGCGGCCATGACTAGACTTTAGTTGTCCAAAATTGTCACGTGAATCAATACCATTCAGCCATGTCAACTAGTGCCTTCATAAACATGGTTGAAATGGTTTAAACCACTGGTTTAAATACCTGGTTTACCAATATTAAACCCGTGTTTCAACATAGTACCAATATTAAACACCTCCTCATTTGTGCCTTAAGGGGATGGATTTAACATTGATTTAACATAATTTGATCATGTCTCTAGAAGCAATGAAAATTACTAATGAAATCTAATGATCATAGTAATCCTAATGAATATACTTCTTACAAACATGACGTCCCCTTGTTTCTCGATCCACGCTTCACGGCGAAGTCGCGCCCATCCGTCCCCATTGCAGCGTAAACGCGGCTCCAGTGTAGATCCAACTACGAAGACCTTCGACGGCGATCTGAGGGAGTCAAGGTGCCAGGGGTGGTTGACCCATCATGACTTGGGATCTTGAACTAATTTTAAAGGCTACCCGGAAGGTCTAATTATGATTGAGATATGATGAAGAATGATGATAGGATATGATAGAATAGAGTGATATGTGATATGTATATATTATATATATATAGTTTAGATACCATAGGGACAGACATGGATATTAAAATTATATAATCACCACCCTTTTCGTGGGGTGTAAGCATGGGAGACCTTCAAAAATGTAAGCAACAATTTTGACCCCTTCGTTTTTCTTTCCCGATATTATATTAGACCCCCCAATGTAAAGAACGGAGCCCCGGAAGATTTACATGAGTCAGCGACTTTATGGACAGCCGGTTTGAGTCACTGGCTTGGCAAGACTCAGCCGAACTTGTACCAGCCGAAGACACTGGCGTACCAGCAAAAGTACCTCCAGACGTCGACCATGAAACTGAACCCATTGAGTCCAATCAGTTGACAGCGGGCGAATGGCTTGAGCTTGGTTTGTACATGAAGGACAAGGATGACTTTAGGCATAGGATGGTTGCATGAGCCTATCTTGATTTTATCATCTACTTTGAGCTGTTTCTGCAAGTAATTATGGAACTTAGGCATAGGACGGTTACATGGATTTATCTTGATTTCATCATCTACTTTGAGCTGTTTCTGCAAGGAAATTTGGACCGTTGGTGTAGGATGGCTACATGAGTTTATCTTGAATTTATTATCTGAAACTGTTCCTGATGTTTCATGACATACTTGCATTTCAATGCATTTGAGATTTGGGCTCTTAGAAATTCTTTCGAAGTCCCTAGATTCGCTCATTTTGGAGCATGCCGTACCAGTTGGAGACTGGCGTTCGAAGCGACCGCTACATGTTCAAGGTTTCTTGGTTACCTATTTGGTTGCCATGTTTCTATGCTGCCCTCGCTATTACGTTTGATGAGTACCTCAACTCCATCAAATTTCTTCAACAGGACGAAGTTGGTTCGGGAATTGTCGATGTCATCAGACAGAATGCAAATGGCGCAATTCTGTACATTTTCGTGTGCAGTCTGTATCGCCTTTGTTCTGACTACACGACTTTGCTCTTGGATTCTGATCAGATTCCGGACGAAGTGAAGATGACCTTGAGAGCCATTGAATTGGTATTTCCTGGAGTGGCTACTACACTGTCAAATTGCGAAAGCTTTCTGATATATTTGCTCAACTATTTGTCACCTTATTATGTGGCGACGAACATTGTGCAGGGCTGCTTTGCTCTGAAATCTCGCATTGAAAAGATCTCCACCCTTGATGGATACACTGAGTGGTTCAAAGCTCTTCTGAGTCGTCGTCACCCTCAGCTACACTATTTTACACTACAATGCGCTAGACTACACTACACTATACCACGCTACAGTACACAACACTACAGTACACTATAATACACTACAATACGCTACACTAATTACACCACACCACAACTACATTTGCAACTGCAACTACACTACACTAATTGCACTACATTACAGCTACAACTTACAACTACAACTCCACTACACTACAACTACACCTACACCTACAGCTACAACTACAACTGCACTACACCACACTACATCCAGCAGTTGTGGTGAGGTGACCACTGCAACCATTGCAATCACTCCAGAAAACACAACTCCAACCACCTTTCGGTCCATCAGTGGATTCGCCCTGCCAACCGTGAGTGACAACAACCAACCCTTCCTATAGGTTTCCTATTTTTGAAACTTCCGCCGCCGCCTTGCGCGGTACTACTGGTATAAAATTGTAATGATTACCTATATCCTCCCGGGCTCTAATGTATCCATAAACCATGGGTTTTTCACCCCATAATTTGAGTTCTGGGGGGTTTCCACATAGCTTGACGGTTGTGGAACCAGAAATTTCATAGAAAATAGTGATTTTCCAGAATTTTTATAGAACAATAGATAAAAATAGTGATTTGCCATCGAAAGTTCATTTAGCGATATGTTACGGTATGTTTGCCTTCCATTTGGGTTGCTGTAGACCAAACCCATTGCTCCAGAGGAGTTCCTGCAACATTTCCTTTTAACGACTTCCGGGATTGATGGAATATGATTTTTGGCATCCACTCTATTGATACAGAGTCAGCATATGTTCTACCCCTGCGCCGAATTTTGGTTGGACGACCTCTGAGACTGCTGCTATCTGGACCAGGGTGGGCTACTCAACTTACTCAATCTTTCCTGTCCTTTACTTGCGTCCCCCTGGTTAAAAGTTGGTTTACATAGACATCACTCACTATTATAGATATACTGATTACTTGTGTGTACCATAAACCATAGCGAAACTAGTCTTAGCTATAAACCAACTTTGAAAACTATGGCTATGGGCACCACCTTGTAGGCAATTCTGTTAGGCCTTGAGTTGTTAAGCCTGTTAGACCTTGTAGGCAATTCTGTTAGGCCTTCAACTTGTATAATGTTTCAAAAAAAAACACATAGCAAACAACAAAATTTTGTCCGTTTGAATGGCAGAGATGATCCACAAAATGCCACGCCTAGTTTCGAAAGATTGTAAAGGGAAAAACTTCCAATATTGCCCACACTTGGTTTCTACTCCTTAGATTATCCATGGTGATTTATACATCCCGAAAGTTCAACACATAAATATTATATGGGTTTGTTCGACCACCAACCCGAAAAAATGGGTGTTAATCCATCCAAGACAGGGTATCCCTCTGCATATTCTAGTGGAGACTCATGGCTGGTTAGTAAGCAGACGGCATATCCCAATTGTTAAGGCCATTTCAGACTTGGGAAACATGTTGGGTGTCGGAATTGGGAGCTATACCCGAAGATATTCGATATTTCAAATGATCTGGTTGGTGCTTTGGAACATGAATTATATTTTCCATAATATATGTTATAATTCTTCCCATTAACTTTCATATTTTTCAAGATGGCTAAAACCACCAGCTAGAAATAATATTCCCCAAGATATTTCCCCACAGGTCGCCCAGGTCGCCAGCCGGTCCCAGCCGGTCCCAGCAACGCTCCAGGTATGGCGGAAGAAGAAGCTTCTTGGGATCAATCTTTGGAGGAATGGCTCATCACTGAGGCCGGGTAGCTTGGAACTTCAAAAATGTTCCTTCAGAACGGGGGAATGGATAAGTCCAATCAGTTCAGAGAATAACACCTATACTATTGCTGTAATGAATATTTAATAGTTGATAATCATTGTAACAGTTGGTTTATCAATGGTAGGGGAATGGATAATTGCAACACTACCATGAGAAAATCGTGATAGCACCCTTAGCTAAGTAATAATGTTTACATATGTCCGCCATTTCATGGAGAATGGTGAATAATGGATTGATAACACATATAGTTTTCATGGATCATGCTTGATCATCAAAGTTCGTGATGGTTAAACATCCCATTGTTCATTAATTAGACAGCCCCGGTGTCGTCCCAAATATGCGGTTTCGTCCCCTACTCAACCATGGTTTTTGGGGAACGGATTATACCTGGGGAACGGAGATCTGCGATTCTTTTGTGGTGGCCATTTAGAAGGGTCTGTAGATGATCGGCGTGGAAAATCGGGGGATTGTCACAGCCAAGTAGGTGAAAGTCGCTGCAATTCTCTCTTTGGATATGAGGAATCCACATGAATCCAGCATATTTACTCACCATTTTGCTAACTTCAGAGTTTTCAATTTTCATGTTCTTTTTTCAAACAGCTCTTCCCAAGTGGCCACGCGTCACTTGTAAACATCATCCATACGGCTCGGCGCAGGGCTACTGCTATGCCGCCGGCATGGCGCAGTTGGAGGATGGCGCCTTCTACGCGGCAGCACCCCAGGAGGCTGAGGCAGCTGAAACTTGGGATTTCAGGTGGGGGAGTAGTGATAAATCTGGTTCAGTTTCCAAAGAAATCTGGCAGGAACGCACGCAAAAAAAAACATATCCATGTGACCATGTGAACATAATTATAGAAAATCAAGATAATATATGAACACTGGGAGCTACATTAATCTTTTTTTGGCGTTTCCCGAATCTTGGGCCCCTCAAAAACAGTAGCCGGTAGCCTTGCCGACGCGACCAGGCTGGATGGGGCTTCATCTTCAAGGAGGACCATGAGCAGATGATCATGCAAGATGTCCGCAAGCCCCAGTCCGATGTTCAGGGCACCTGTTCTCATGTTTCGGTTCTCAAACCGGGTGGTTCAATGGTGAATTATCATAAACCATTCGATACTGGATGATCCAGTAACTAATGTGAGGTTTCCCAACCAAACAAATGGCTGGCTACTATACCCCTCTTATGAAAGCAAGGTGTTCCATGGTTTTCCCGATGTTGGTTGGATGATAACTTGGGGTAGCCGAATGACTTAGGAAAGTTCCACGTTGTGGAAATGAAGAAGTGTTGTAAAGTTCAAAAACTGTTGGTAAAACGGCCTACCATGATGTAAAAAAAACGCATGTTTTCTGTTGGATGGTTGCCTGATGCCAAACTCCTCAGCCAAGGACATGTCAGAAAAGAAGATGACCATTAACGAGGACCGCTACCACGGTTGGCGCTTCCAACCGCATGTCTTCAGTTATGGCCATGAATTCTGTTTTTTAGATGGGATTATACATTCCTTAGATTTCCTTAGTACTTATAACTGGTAGAGGGATGCTTATTGTGCAATAACTCTACCAGTTTTGATGCCTTCTTTGGATTTGTTGGGTCCAGTTTTCAAAGGCAGGATGAAATCTTGGTGGACTAGAAATGGCTACGATGGAAGCGACAGAAATGGCGACCTTTACTATGGCTGTATGTCACTTTGCTACATAGTAAAGATATAGTAAAGTGACATACAGCCATAGTAAATCATGATAAATCACTCTACGAACTGTATGATTAGCATTTTAGTTTTGAAGATACCGGACCGCATCAGCCCATCCGTTCCAAGCCCTGAAAGTCACAGGCCTCAGCATTGAAATTCGCTGCAGAGAACCTGAAAGCTCCTCCAGAGGGATTGTGGTTGGGTGGCCAGACGCTTGTCTGAACTTGGGTGGTCGTTGGTGCATCCACATGAGGCATTATTCAAGGGCTTGGGGGGAAGATAGTTTGGCAGTTTGGCATGATTAGTCTTTGATTATGTGTATGTTAATTATGTTACTGTATGTTTTGGTGCCAAACTTTCGACCACTACTATAACTCCCTGAACATTTGGATGGCAAAGTACATGAGTTGGCTGCTTACCATGGCTGTTTTTTTTTTCTGTTGGTTTGGATCAAAGTAGTGCTGGAAACACGCCTCCATCAGAGCAGTTTTCTGACTGATGCCATCTGAAATGAGCTGGGTGCCATCTGGTTATGACTAACAGTTCGCCATGGAAGCCATGGCCCATAGAAATAGCTGGTTTACCGAACTTAAAAATGGTGGATCTTTCCATGGCGAACTGGCAATGTCATAACCAGATGGTATCTTAAAGTTTCATAATGTTCCATTCCATGATATCATGCCCAGAAGTGGGATGCTTATTCCAATTCACTCCTTTTTTTTTAACTGAGATGTATAGCTCATGCAGCTCCAACAATGCAGTGGCTCCAGCTCTTTTTGGATCCCCTGGATATCCAGATCTATGATCTGCACGGAGGAAGTACAAGATCACTCGTACAGACAAGGAGTACCAGGTTGGTGATCAAACGTGCCTCGGACGAATGCCTGGAATGCCTGAGACAGGCAACATTGTTGGCAAATGTGGCAAAATAGACATAGCAAGCGCCAAAAGATGCCGTCGTTCTATGTTTTGTTTGTCTGTTAATAGGAGCGATGTTGCTGATGAAGACAGGGATATAAAGGGGTACCCAACCCCTATCACAACAGATCTCCTTATTCGTTCCCGTTTGGAACATCATGTATCTGCAAGACATCTGATGTCCTCAGGTTCATCTACATCTTTGCCGCAGCGCCAAAGAAGGCTGAGACAGCGCCTGGTGTCCTTTCGGTTGGGATGTACCCTCAAGTAAACCAACATAGCTATGGTATGCTATGAGAAGATAGCCTGATTATAGATGATTTACCTACTAACAATGATGATTTTCCATATAGTATCTGTTAGTTTGCAGGAGGTAGATACATCTATCAGGTTATCAGGATCTTCACAAAGACTCATAGGATCTCATATAGGTATACCAAGATTCTTGTCCAAAGGCCGATTCTACGGGCTGTTTCCATGGTCATGCGCTTCTGGGAAGCATTGGAAGTGTCATTCCTTGGTTACGCCGCTATGTTGTCACGGCCAGGGTGTAAGCATTGCAGTGACAAAGACACAGATCATTTGCGCCTTTTTCGATGTCCGGGCCTCTGGGCTTGGGTGGACGGCAGGTTCTCACAGACTGGGAAGATGCTTGAGATATATAGGTTTCATTCAGTTCCGGCAAATATCACATGCTTGTAGCCTTTGGCAATCTAACAGTGGAGACGGAGATTCCCCCACTTGAAGATCACTGTCCCAGTGGCAAGAACTGGCAAGAATATTGTTAGTCGCTATAAGTCGCTATGTTTTTGCCTATGAGAAAAACTAGAGCCGTTCGGTGGATCAATCGTTCAGTGGCTAAAACATCCATGGCTTGTGTGGGAAGATGTGGGAAGCGTCCCTGTGACAGTGGATCAAAATCTAAGAACCCAATCTCTTGGATCTTCAGCCTGATTTGGAAGGTTGTTTGATCCTTGTTCAAAGAGAGGCAGAAGCATTGAGTTGTTTTTTGATTCTGCCCTCGAATGTGCCCACATAGTTGCTGAAAATGAGCCTGTTCCAATGTTCCTAGGGTTTCCCCATGGACTTTATACCAATATGTGCGCCTTTGAAACTTGGAGATTTCGTTGCTCATGCTACTTGGCAAGTCAAATCTCTTCGGTTCTTCCGTTTCGTTTATTTTAGCCTGTCAAACATTAGCAAGTCTACCTGGATCCATCTAAACTTGAATACCAGTACTAGGCTTCCCATTGGAATCTCAGGACCAGAAACATGGGAATTTATCTCCGGGCATGGACACATATATAGAACAAATCCCCGTAATTCCCGTAAATATTGCATCATTTGATATCATTTGATATATTACTATAATGGAAATCCCAACATGAAAAAAACAATCAACTAATTCCCCATGGATCCCAAGATTGGTCGGAAATCGATTAGATTCCATGGATTTTTCCATATTTTTCCCCAAAAAAAACATGACATTTTGATGACGTCCCCATGGATCTCGCCCCGTCCTCCACGTGCGGTGAGTCATTTCGCAGGAGGAGAAGGGGCAGACGGCTGGAAACTGCACTAAGGCGCCATTTTGGGATCGAAAAAAGCCCTCGAAAGATAGGAAGCGCTCAACATGAGAACTGTGGAATTCACCATGAAACATGGGGATTCCACCATGGAGAAATGGGAATTTTATCATGAAAAAGCTGGGATTTAAGTTATTTAACGAGGAAGACCTCTGGATTTAATCATGAAAAACGGTGATTCAACCATCAAGTTACTTCGGTTGTAATTCGTAACCATCAAAAAGTGGTGTTCTTATTCATAATTGATGGTTAGGACTGGGGTAATTATATGTAATTATCCCACAATTGCTTCTTGTATGAATTTGCCCCGTTTTTCTTCTTGGTCCCGGGCTGTTTGGGGAAACCAATGGTTGAGAGGAGGAACAAGGGGATAAGCTAGGTACCCACTTAGTAAAGGAAAACGCCTGTGGGGTTCATTTTTTGGAAAATCTTTTTTTTCAAGGGTTTCCCATCCGGCGGTGCTATCCGCTGCAGTTTTAACACCAGGTTCCGGGCAAGGTCAGGGCCCAAAAGGTAAGGGCTGACCCAGCCTTCTGATCTCATTTTGATCTCGTTTTTTCCCTGGTAGTACTGAATCTGGAAGCCATAGAGCCATCAGTCGTGGCTTCATCTTAAAAAGATATGATGGTTTTATTGTGGTTTTACCATCTGATAGTTTATTTTTGTGAGTCTATATGGAGGCTTCAGGGTTTGTTTGTTGAAAGGTTTAGTTTCAGCCGACACCTTCCGGCGACCCCTTGGCCGATCTCACCGTAAATGATGGGCCTCAGCACTGACGCAAAGGGTTAAAAAAACATAGCCTTTTAACTCAGGCTTGGGATTTATCACCAATAGTCCAGGGTAGATGAGGGGTTGGTAAATATTTGTCTTGGGGATTTTAAACGTCACTTCAAGTATTTGTTGGAGATAACATCCCTAATTGATGTTCAATCAGGACATTCAACACCTCCTGCAAATGTTTGTAGCATCAGCATGAAACAACAACATGATGCAAATGATGCAGCAAGGGTCAAATTCAACTGTCGAGTGCTCGCAGGCACTGGCAGCCTATGCTGAATGGATGGTGACTGAAGGCTATTGAGCCTGGGTTCCCGCATCAAGTGCGGGTCCCTCCGATGAAGTTTGTGACTGCCGCACTTTTCACAACCAGAGAGTACAGTTCTGAACTCTAGAGTTAATATCTCATCAAAATGAAAGACTCTAAGACACATTTGATAATTACACCTCAAAGAGCAACCTCTATGCGAACATCATTGAAGAACCCTGTTTTGCCTATGTATGTGTTGTCTTGTTAGAATTACACTGTTTGTTTGTTGTTTGCTTCTGAGACTAAGATGTATAATGATGTATATAATCGTATCGCAACCTTTTGCGAATGTCGGCATGTTGAGTGGTCAATCGCAGCTGCTGCTCTGAAGCATTTGAACAACAAAGCAAGACACACCAATCACCAAACATATTCTTCGAAGAAACATGTTGTGTTTGCGGTTCATTTTCCAGTTGTTGTTGTTGTTGTTGTTGGTTGTTGGTTGTCGGTTGTCGGTTGTTGGTTGTTTGTCGTTTGTTGTGTGTGTGTGTTGTTTGTTGTTTGTTGTTTGTTGTTTGTTGTTGGTTGTTGTTGTTGTTGTTGTTCTTGTTCTTGTTCTTGTTCTTATTCTAGTTGGTTGTTGTTTGTTGTTGTTGTTGTCGTTGTTGTTGTTGTTGTTGGTTGTTGGTTGTTGGTTGTTGGTTGTTGGTTGTTTGTCGTTTGTTGTGTGTGTGTGTGTTGTTTGTTGTTTGTTGTTTGTTGTTCGTTGTTGGTTGTTGGTTGTTGGTTGTTCGTTGTTTGTTGTTTGTTGTTGGTTGTTCGTTGTTTGTTGTTTGTTGTTTGTTGTTTGTTGTTGGTTGTTGGTTGTTCGTTGTTTGTTGTTTGTTGTTTGTTGTGTGTTGTGTGTTGTGTGTTGTTAGTTGTTAGTTGTTTGTTGTTGTTGTTGTTCTTGTGTTTGTTGCTACTGGTGCTGTTGCCTTTATTTCTATTGCTTCTGCTGCTGTTGTTGTTGCTGTTGTTGTTGTTGTTGGTGGTGGTGCTGTTGTTGTTGTTGTTGTTGTTGTTGTTGTTCTTGTTCTTGTTGAGGTTGCTCTTGTCCTTGTTTTTTTTGGGCTTGTTGTCATCATTGACATTGTCGCTGCTGTGTCTTCATTGGTGCCAAGCTTAGGACCCAGCACACCCTCCGTATTGCCAAGTACGAACTTGGTTACCCTGGCATTGTTGTTCCCAGAAATACCAACGGATCATGTTTAAACCCTAAACGATGATGCTGGCCTCAAGTGACCATCTAGAATCTTGTTCAGAAGGGTCGAAGCCAGCAGTTCTAGATGGTTCTGGTCTTAACCACCTAGCATGCGTTGTATTACGGATAAGAAATGACCTCGTAGTTGAAACCTTTTGCCACTGCCCCAAACACCTCAAGAACTCTTTGAAATCACAGAGAAAGAACTGTTTTTTTTTGTAATTCCCCAACCCCTCGTTTGCTTTTTCGAGGGCTTGGAAGTGTTGATCAACAGAGATCCGTTCGAAACAACGAAACACCGAGGCAACTTCCGCAGATCTGCCTGTGGTTTTTCACCCACTTGATCTGGTTCATTACATCACGAAAATCGCTGGAATCTTACCATCTGGTTATGACATTGCCAGTGCGCCATGGAAAGATCCACCATTTTATCCATTTTTAAGAACGGTAAACCATCTATTTCTATGGGCCATAGCTTCCATGGCGAACTGGCAATGTCATAACCAGAGGGTAGATGTGTTTCTAGAACAAATCATCCAAAAATCGGTGGCTTATCAGCATGTTCCCATGCGTATGGCCAGCTTGGGCACCGAATTGTGTTAATCTTCAGTTTTTGGCAAACCCAGATATGATATCATACTGCTGCTGAATCACATTGTTATATATCCTTGAATCTCATTCCATCCTTACTATGATTGGTTTGCCAACTATATCCCCAGTAATTCATAGTAATCCACTAGGTTTTCCAATTATATCTCCATTAAACCATAGTAATCCGTTATTTGTATCATGCATATATGGATATTCCAATATCATCCATAGTAAAATCCACTATGTGGATGCATATGCAAAGGGTGTATCATCGTCGTGCAGCAGCTGAGAAACCCTTTCGATTCAATCGGACCTGCCTGCGACGCAGAAAACCATGGCAGAATCGCCGGGCGGGGTGCCGAGCGCTTTTGGGAGGTGTGAAATGATGAAAGCATATCATTTGATAGGAGAGGTTAAATATACATATAATATTATTTTTTTAAATATATATATATATATATTTGAATATGAATATATATGATTTACAATGTATATGTATACGGATATTATAATACATATTACATTATTGATAGTATGGGAATACAATGGGATAATGGGATACAGTGGATCTGGATAAATTATAACGACCCTTTATCTGCGAATTATATTTGAATGCCGTTTGAGGTCAACTTGCAAAAAACATGCTATGCCGTGATGTCGAGAATTGGAAACCCATGAAACAAAGTAGAGGTCCTCACGACCAAGTTCGCCACTTGAAGTTGACTTGAAGTCAGTTCACTACAACAACTTGATAACTTGCAAACCAGTTTTCTTTGGAAAAGGGTAGGTTGACACGGTGACGTTTAACTTTTCAAGATCACGTTGACGCTTCTCGTCTCTGACTGCGGTCGCCATGTCGTGTCTTCCCGCTGACACCTTCTCGCACTTCGAGCAGCGGATTTCGAACTTCGAACAGAGGGAGCAGGTGCCGCTGCCCCGGGTGGGCCGAAATGGGCAGCATAGGAACTTCAAAGCCAACAGGTAATGGTTTTATGAAGTATCAAACACCCATATATAAACCATAATAAAACATCATTTTTGGATGTACAGAGAAGCTTGGCAACAAGGAAACATAAAGGGAAGTGTTCATTCTTGAATTTCAAGTGTTTGGTGGCAGATTACTTTGTGATACTTTTTTGCAGTCATACAGTCGTTGGTGGCTAACAGTTGCTTCTTTATGTTGATTTTTGCCTTTGCCAGGTCATAAATACCCAGTAACCCGTTCGTAAGTGGCGTTTGCATGCGTTTGCCTCATTTGTCGCTGGAAAGTGGTTCTAGCTGGAAGGGAAAATGTAACCTGTCAACCTCGTGCCTAAAGGTACCAAAATCAGTGGCATCTCAATGTTTGGCGATGTTTAGTAGCACATCACTGTTTTGTCCACATGTGTTGGCTAGATTGTAAGAGTTCAAATCAGATCAAACCCCATCTGCAGTGGAGAATATCCCCAATGACCTTGACCAGTGGAATCCAAGGGAGGTATTGATCATACAATAATGGTCCCCCACCAATCATATGCATTTATTGCATTCCAGTATAATTGGGTTACAAGTATCATTTCATTTGCAGTTAACTAGGGTCAGTTCATTTACACATGGCTGTGTGTTGAGGGGCATCTTTGTAGGATTTGTATGTTTGTTTGCTTCTCTCTTGAACGAAAACACCTCAGTGCGTTCCATTGGAGTCAAGCATTCAAGAAAACTATGGATTTTCTTCCTAATTTGATCAATTTCTGCGGATCTTTTGAACAATTTCTCTTCAAACCATACAGTACCCCCACCTTCAAAGTGGGCCCCCCAAACGTTATCAGTTGGTTTGTCGCATTTTATAATTGTTTATAACATTTTATAACCACATAAAATACTAATGTGGTTAAAACAATGATAAACCACCCATTTGGGAATGGTAAGCATCCCACCTATTTATGGTGAAAGTGGGGATGGTTTATGGCATTGTTTTACCCACATTATAGATATATGAATATATATATATATATCATATGAAAATCATATGATATCTATATATATCCCTTATAAACCCTAGAAACCCTAGTTATTCTAGTTTTCTGTTCACCGTTCCTTCGCTGCCGTTGCGGATCCCAGGAGATCCTGGCACGAGATGCCCAGATTGAAGCGAAGTCCCTGGGCGTTGATTTTGAGCCGTCCCCAGTGTGGAACGCCGTTCAAATACATAAACGTTATATGTGTATATTACTTTATATAATATACAAGGACATGTATTTGTATATTATATATGTAGATATGTCAGAAATCATCCTGTCACTGGGTATTTCATCCCTGAACAGAATCTTCATTGTTTGTAGTAGTTGGTAATAGCACTCATGCTAGGGAGAATTCATGAGTACTAGAGCCAACAGACATGTGATGCTCCATTGATCTTTGTTGATCTTTGACGCTGATCATGTGACCTTAACCAGCCACTTTTGTAGCTGCGTTGGTTCAATCCCTGAGACGTGGCCCTCCAGCTGTGTTGCTGGAGGCCCTTCGACATTGGGCTGTCAATGTGAAACTGAGGTAAACTGAGGTTTTTTCATGATCATCATGATCATCCAAGGACCCTGCCCTCAATCCCAGAACATCCAGAACATGTTTTCTCATTGGTGGTTTCAACTCTATAGGTGTCTTTTCGCCAAGACCTCAGTCTGATCCTACAAAAAGGTTCATCCCCAATCTGAGGCGTGTCCAAGTCATCTCGCAGGCGGCCTACGGCTATGGGCTGGTAGCTGACCGTCATCCCAACAAAAAGGCATGTGAAACCAACAGGCAGATGCCCAGGTGCCGTTTCACCGGAAAATCAAGGACAACATATAGACGTAGAATAAACATGGATAAACCATGTGTATATATATATACATGGAATTTAATTTGGATTACCAGATCTGATTGCCTGTGGATATGCGTGCCATGGTTTGAAGTTGGAGTGTATAGCCATATAGCTGGACAGTCAACAATCTATTAATAGGTATTCATATAAACCCACTGTAAGGATTACCGCTATGGGGTGGATGCCCATAGCACATTAATCACTACTGTAAACCCATGTTACGTTTAGTCCCATGGTTGTTGATTAATCCCCATTATGTATATATATATATATATCCATCTTTCAGTCCCTATGTTTGGTGGTTAACTCCCATTATTTTTTCCATGAGGATTCCATTGCGTACACATCTGACTGGACTAAGTCATCAATCTATGAAATTCTATTGATCGGATTTAACAGGTGTATATAAATATATTCGAAGGAAGTGGACAGATGAAAAGCAGAGCAGGGAAGAGGCAGAGAGAGCAGAGAAAGATTAGAAGAAAGAAGAGTAAGAAGAAAGAAGATGCAGATGCGCGAAAAGGTAGGAAAGTCGCGAAACACTGTGTTTTTCCAAATGATTTGGGGCTCCGGAGGGTCGAAAATTAGGCTCACCGCTGTGGCAGCTGTGCTTGGTCAGGCCGCTCAAGCTTGAGCCTCGTGAGGCGCATCTCCTGTTCTGAGGCCTCAGGCCTGGGCTGGCAGGAACGTGCATCTGCCTTTCTACCTTTTGCAAGCCACCTCGCTCAGAGGTTTGGCATTTTTGATGGGAGGAGGGCCTGCGTTCCATTGACATTCTGGCACTGGCAGATAACAGATGACATAGCATCGTAGGTATAATTTAGGATGCAAGGCTACCGCAGTAGGATTTGGGTGGTATTTAATTTGTGTTTTGTTGTCATTGTTGGATTGACTTTTGATCTACTCCTGGCATTGTGCAGAAGCTT